CCCCCCCCCTTTTTTTTTTTTTTTTTTTTTTTTTTTTTTTCGTAAAATTCTCACCTTTTACCCTTCTCCTCCAACCATTGACCAAAATGTGGACGAACAGCTTAAAATCGTTTTTCTTGTTTTTCTTAATAAACGCACACCTGAGTAATTTTAAATTTCACCATGCGCAAGTGGCACACAGAACGAAATTGTTCTCATGGCAACACATCGCGATGGAGTGGCGGGGCTACTGCTTCACACATTGGGCTCCGCAAGGCCCCTTCCCCACCACACACACGGGGCCAATTTGTTTCTCCATTTCACCATTCCTACTTATGCCTTTCTCCCCTTGTACAGATTTGTTCTTCAGACAAGACAACTACTCCCTAGGAGGACACCTTGCTAAAGAGAGGTAACCGAAACGCTCTGCGTGACGCAAAAGCACAGATGCAGCTGAAAAACATGCTCATAAAAGGGTCTCTCACGGGCGACGGCTCATGAGAAACATACACACACACACGCATGTACATATAAACCTTCACGTATGTGTATAGGCGTACCTCCACATGCTATCTCTTCTCCCCCCCCCCCCCCAGAACTGCACACAATGACCCCGCTTTACTCAATCGGATGCTTCAAGAAGAAGCCAAGCCCCAGTGTGACCAGTGGACAGAATGGTCCAATTGTTCAAAGTCCTGCGGCATGGGAGTCAAACTGAGGGTTCGATCAAGCAGCAAAAAGGAACACTCCCGAGAATGCTCCAACATCAAAGAAACTACAGTTTGCTTCATGGACAATTGTGCAGATTTGAAGGAAACAAGAGAGCGAGACGAAAAGGATCAAAGAGAAAATGAAAAAAACATTGTCAGGAGAAAATACCTACTAATTTTTGGAATTTTTTCAGCCATGAACGTAATCATACTACTCGTATGCGTAATTATGTCCATCAAGAAAAAAGTCATTTAAGTTGTCCTCATTTGTAGCGCGCTGAAGAAAGGGTTAACTTTGCAGCGATATCGTCATTCTTTTTAATTAGCATTTTTTTTTTTTTTTCTCTCTCTCCCTTTTTTAATGTACAAGGATGTGCTTGTTGCGATACACTTTACTTTTTTTGTGATTTTTTACGCTTACGAGCGTTTTTTTTTGAAGCTTTTTTTATGAATGCTTTTTCTAACGTTTGTGAGTACTCCTCTGCAAAACATTTTTTTAAGATTATACGAAATGTTCTGACTTCCCAGCGAACTGGCAGTAGTCCTTTTCTTAAAAAATCGGGCACATTTGTCCCCTATCCTACCACCCTTTACTTTACACCGGTTTTCCTACACAAATGCAATCATTATGAAAAGCAGCTACGGTGAAATTTCCCACAACTGGGCTCCATGAAAATGCTCCAAGTTTGTTCATACTGCAACACACTTTTTGTATGAACCGTTCAGGTTAAATTACACTCATCAAGGGCATTTTTTTTTTTTTTTTTTTTATTAACCGTTCAGCTAAAAGTGCAAAAAGACACTTATATATGCCCCCACACCCATGTGTGTGTATGTGTGCTGAGAATTTCATCCGATAAGACAAACACATGTTTTGTTGCGTTCTACTTCTTTTAAGTAGAGAGAAAGAAATGATACCAATGTGTGGCGGCCTTTCCCAGGGGAGGGGATTATTTCTCCCCACTTTTCAGATTTATTCACCTGAGAAGATTAAGTTGAGTACTTGGGTGCAACTTTTTTGGCTGTTCAGATGAAAAAGGGGGGTACTCACCGTGTGCATATTTTTTTTTTTTTTTTTTTTTTTTGCGTGTACCTTAAATATACACCTTTTGGTGAAATGCCTTCATTTAACGCAGACACGATTTGTTATTTAAAATTTCCGTTGACAGGACACCCAATTTTAGTTGGAGACACGATTTGTTATTTAAAATTTCCGTTTAGAGGACACCCAATTTTAGCTGCAGGCACTCCACTTAAAAACGGCAGTATAGACTTGTTCTAATCCGAACGACGCAAACTTTGCGCGCCAGCTGGGGCACATCACTTGGTTGCCCCTTTTTTTCGCCTTCCTCACACCGGACTGTGTTTAATTAATTTTTCTGTTTTTTTTTTTTTTTTTTTTTTTTTT